AGTTTGTATGTGTGTTTGTCAGTGAGTGTGTGTGTTTGTGTGTGTGTGTGTATGTGTGTTTGTCAGTGTGTGTGTGTGTATGTGTGTTTGTCAGTGTGTGTGTGTGTGTGTTTGTCAGTGTGTGTGTGTGTGTGTGTTTGTCAATGTGTGTGTATGTGTGTTTGTCAATGTGTGTGTATGTGTGTTTGTCAATGTGTGTGTATGTGTGTTTGTCAGTGTGTGTGTGTGTATGTGTCAGTGAGTGTGTGTATGTGTGTTTGTCAGTGTGTGTGTGTGTATGTCAGTGAGTGTGTGTGTGTGTATGTGTGTTTGTCAGTGAGTGTGTGTATGTGTGTTTGTCGGTGGGTGTGTATGTGTGTGTTTGTCGTGGTGTGTATGTGTGTTTGTGGGTGAGTGTGTGTATGTGTGTTTGTCAGTGAGTGTGTATGTGTTTGTGTGTGTGTGTATGTGTGTTTGTCGGTGAGTGTGTGTTTGTCGGTGTATGTGTGTGTGTGTGTTTGTCAGTGAGTGTGTGTATGTGTGTTTGTCAGTGAGTGTGTGTGTATGTGTGTTTGTCAGTGGTGTGTGTATGTGTGTTTGTCTGTGTGTGTGTGTTTGTGTGTGTTTGTGTTTGTCTGTGAGTGTGTGTGTGTTTGTCTGTGAGTGTGTGTGTGTGTGTTTGTCTGTGAGTGTGTGTGTGTGTGTTTGTGAGTGTGTGTTTGTGAGTGTGTGTGTGTGTGTTTGTGAGTGTGTGTGTGTGTTTGTCTGTGAGTGTGTGTGTTTGTCTGTGTGTGTGTTTGTCTGTGAGTGTGTGTGTGTCTGTGAGTGTGTGTGTATGTCAGTGAGTGTGTGTGTGTGTGTTTGTCAGTCAGTGATTGTGCATGTATCTGTGTTTGTCAGTGAGAGTGCATGTTTGTGTTTGTCAGTGAGAGTGCGTGTATATGTGTGCATGTATGTTTGTCAGTGAGAGTGCATGTATATGTGTGCATGTGTGTTTGTCAGTGAGAGTGTGTGTATGTCAGTGAGTGTGTGTATGTTTGTGTGTGTGTGTGTGTTTCTGTAAGTGTGTGTGTATGTGTTTCTGTAAGTGTGTGTGTATGTGTTTCTGTAAGTGTGTGTGTATGTGTTTCTGTAAGTGTGTGTGTATGTGTTTCTGTAAGTGTGTGTGTATGTGTTTCTGTGAGTGTGTGTATGTGTTTCTGTGAGTGTGTGTGTGTGTATGTGTTTGTCTGTGAGTGTGTGTTTGTCTGTGAGTGTGTGTGTATGTGTTTGTCAGTGAGTGTGTATGTGTTTGTCAGTGAGTGTGCGTGTATGTGTGTTTGTCAGTCAGTGAGTGTGCGTGTATGTGTGTTTGTCAGTGAGAGTGCATGTGTGTGTTTGTCAGTGAGAGTGCGTGTGTGTGTTTGTCAGTGAGAGTGCGTGTGTGTGTTTGTCAGTGAGAGTGCATGTGAGAGTGTGTGTTTGTCAGTGAGAGTGCATGTATATGTGTGCATGTGTGTTTGTCAGTGAGAGTGCATGTGAGAGTGTGTGTATGTCAGTGAGAGTGTGTGTATGTGTGTTTGTCAGTGAGAGTGTATGTGTATTTGTGTGTCTGTCAAAGAGTATGTGTATCGGTTTGTCAAGGTTTATGTGTGTGTGTATGTCAGTATGTGTGTATTGGTGTGTGTATGTGCCAGTGTATATCTGTGTGTCAAGGTCTGTGCATGTGTCAATGTGTGTATCTTTGTGTCTGTGTGTGTGTCAATGTTTTTATATGTGTCTGTTTGTGTATGTATGTACGTACATGGCATACGTACAGCAATCAAACACACTCCTGCAAGGGTCTGCTGCTGATTGGCTGGAATGTGTCTGCTGACTGTGAGGTACAGGGTCAAAGTTTACTCAATGATGAGTCCGTGGCGAACCGTTCGGGACATCACTAATTACATATAAAAACCCCTGGATTCAAATTTATATACAAACACTCCAACACACCCTTCACTCAAATACTGATACTAACACTAATGTACATCCGCATTTAAAAGCTAATACTGCGTCCAAGCACACCCCTGCACGCAAATGCAAAATTACATACAAACACACCCCTGTATCAAAACGCTAACATTATATACAAACGCCAACTGTACACACAAAAGCACACCTGCTCCTAAGTACTACTATCTGTTTATTATTTGCGGGACGGCACCAAAGTTTTGGGGGGGGTTTCACGTTGTTAGTGCATTATGTCAAAGGGTTCCACTGGAAAAATTAATTGGGAACCCCTGAATTAGAGTATCATATATTGCTGTTCTAGCACCATTTAACATGTAAAATTAAACATAGTGTCTATGTCTCCTGCAACATTAGGACATCACATAGTTCTTAAGTTGAAAGCAAAGTTTTGCTGTGTTAGTTTTGAAATACCTTTAGCCAGTGGTGTATCCTGGTTTTATGCTGCCCTAGGCAGGACAAGATTCAGGCGCCCCTCTCTCCCCCTGCGCGCCACTCCCACCCAACCCTTCCCCCCGTTCCGCCTTCTAAATACACACACACACACATTCACTGACATAAGAAATGAAGATGGCCAATGAAATTGTCCAAATATAGGAGACAGAGAAAAGGGGGTAACCCTAAATAATTGAAAACAATAGATAAAAAAGAGAATCTGTCCCTTGAATAAAAATCTAGAAGATACTTAATTTGTCTAATAAAAAGACATTCCTAAAATAAATTTAGCTTGATAACCTATACATATCTACTTTGTTGCTAATTTTGACAAGCAATATCGTGTGAGATATTTTAGTATGCATAATTACATTCTATACGGGAGCAATAGGTTATACACGGGTACAGCGAATCCCCGCTACAAACTAATTGTACCGAGCATTTCTTGACATGCAGTCCTATCTAGCACCGTGTTAGAAGCGCACGTAATAGATCCACTAAGTTGCTCTTGGTAGGGGTTAACTTTTCAGTGCACTGGACGATCTGATGTGTACTCGAGCCCCTTAAGTATAGGAGCAAACAAAGTATGTCACGGATTGATTTGGTTATCGCATTCTGCTAACATCAGTAGATACATTATATCTATGGATACGCTACAATACAAGCTTTTATGTATCTATCTGTACACATACTGACATAGGATACATTTTCGCTAATTGAGTAAGTGAACAGCTTTAGAATCCATCTTGACAGCGACCCCCAGCGGTCAATAATTATAATGAAATATTCGATCCAACAAGTCAGACAATAAACTGACATTATCACTTATTGTGATTAGGATTGGATATCCTTTAGATAATTATATTCATACTGTTGTAACTAGCTTGTTTTATGTTTTTTCCTTATCCCTCTCCTCTTCTCCCCCTATTTAAACGCCCTCATTACCTAATGTTGGTTTTTTGACCTGTCCAGTCCGGACATCCATTAGTACCATATTAGAGTATGAGAGGTAGTTCACATTCACTGACAGATACGCATACACTAGCTAACAGAAACACACACAGAAACACACACTCACTAACAGACACAAACACTCACACTAAGACAGACTAACAGACACACTCACAATCACTAACACACACACTGACACACACTAACAGTCACACACACACTAACACACACATACACACTCACAATCACTAACACACACACTAACAGACACACATACACACTAACAGACACACTCACAATCACTAACACACACTGACACACACACTAACAGGCACACACTAACAGACATACACACACACTCACTCACCCCCCACCAGCCTCCTTACCTTTGGGAATGCTGGGGGGGTGTGGGGCTCTCTTTCTCCCTGGGGGTCCAGTGGCTGCCGGTCGGGCTGATGGGCGGGTGGCTGGTGAGAGAGCACTTCCTCTGAGCACTCTGCTCAGCTCCCTTGCGCGCCGCAGAGTGAGGCTGGGAGCCGGAATATGACGTCATCTTCCGGCTCCCAGCCTCACTCTGCAGCGCGCGAGAGAGCTGAGCAGACCGCTCACAGGAAGTGCTCCCTCGCCAGCCGCCCGCCCAGCCCAGCATGTCTGTTAGCTGCAAGGCTAACCAGGCATTTGCCCCGGGCATTTGGGGGCGGCTTTTTTCGCCCAGGGCAAATGCCTTGTTAGCCTCGCAGCTAATACGCCCTGCCTTTAGCTGTGTAACCAGAGGGTTGACAATTGGGTGGAATGAAGTTTAAGAATTTCCACTGGTTTGTAAGGAGGGAAATAATTTAAATAACAGTGTTTGGGGTAGAGTGTCCCTGGATAAAACAAAGAGTTTGTCTCGTTTGATAGATGTGCCATCACAAAAGTATTCCTGTAATAGCTAAGTAAAGCCTTCAAATGAGAAATAGCTTTCTCGAGAATTAGCTAAGAGGGAAGAGGGTATTATGTTCCTTGCATATAGTCATGTCTTGGAGGATGAATGTGACCTATTTTAGGAAATGGTACATGTATAAAAGCAATGCTTTTCCACCAGTTTTTCTAATACATTACTTGTATTTTGAAAAACACTGTGTTACAAGCACTGAAACATTTTCTTAACAAGCAGTAGTTATTTTTGTAAATAATAGTTTTACCAGTTATGACAGTGGTCTGTGTTCATTGCACTGCTGTGTATACATTCCATCGGTTATCAAGGACACTGTTCTCAGTCCATGCATCTTGGACTTGGAGGCAAATCAACAGACAGTGCTGTTCACATGTACTAGAATCCTATAAATATAAACAAACCCATTGCCTAAGATCTTGGTCCTGGAGCTGAAATGTCAAGTGGCATGATTACTGATGTGCACCATTCACCTCTCACCATGACTTCCATAGCACCTTACCTTGTAAACGTGGTACACATAAAGTATAGATGCTATGTAATATATATATATATATATATATATATATATATATATATATATATATATATATATACACAGAGTTCAAGTAGAGATTATAGCCGTATTAGTCCAGTGATGTAGATGTAAAAAACAGATACAATTCTTATCTTGTAATACCTTTTTTATTGGACTAACAAAAAATTTTAATGACAAGCTTTCGGGAGAACCTCCCTTTCTCAAGTCTGAAGCATTTCGTTTTGCTCAGAAATGCTTCAGACTTGAGAAAGGGAGGTTCTCCTGAAAGCTTGTCATTAACAAATTCTGTTAGTCCAATAAAAAAAGGTATTACAAGATAAGAATTGTATCTGTTTTTTACATCTATATATAAAGGTATTACAAGAAAAGAATTGTATCTGTTTTTTACATCTACATCACTGGACTAATACGGCTACAATCTCTACTTGAACTCTGTATATATATATATATATACCAGTAGAAAGTGATTAGCACTCACGGATTTCCAAAAGTTGATTAAAAAAAATTAATTAATCAACTTTTGGAAATCCGTGAGTGCTAATCACTTTCTACTGGTATGTAAAAGTCCCCCTGATTTTAAGCACCCGGTCTTAGCGTTTTTTGGAGCCAGAGTGCAAGGACTTTGTGGACCGTTTATATATATATATATATATATATATATATATATATATATATATATATATATATATATATATACATACATACACACACACACAAAATAAACAATCCAGCGCACTTGCTTATTCACTAAATAATTATTTCAAATCTTACAGATTGTAATAGTTTTATTTAAAAAACCCTTACCTAGACAAACAATAATGGTGGTTTAGTTACATTATATGATCATATATTGCATAAGCCTGCCACAACGTCAATGTACCCCATTCTTGGCAGGTACTACTCTAGTAGCAGCCTAATGCCTGCTCTTATGAGATTAATCCACTTACTTGGGAAATACATCCTTACTGGGACTCTCTGCAAGTCAAGGCTAAAAAAGTTGTTTGAGTTGGACCTGCCAAGTATGGGGTACATTAACGTTGTGGCAGGCTTATGCAATTATATGATCATATAAGGTAACTAAACCCACATTATTTTTTGCCTAGGTGAGGTGTTTTTATATAAAACTATAACAATCTATAAAATTCCAGGCTGTGATTCGGTTGTATTTGTACCAACCTTTTTTTGCCTTTACTTTGAGTTGTATTAGTGATCAATCCCTGCCCTGACCTTGCTCATTCTCTTGAAAGTGCTACCAGCTCTGATGTCCACTTCTTCTCACCCTATAATCCATCTGGTCCTTTAGGTTACAGTCATATGAAAGCTGCTGCTAATAACCCAATGTCTATGTAACTTAGGGGATGTACTCACTACAAAGCAATTATTACATAACCTTTGCAAAGCATATCCAACATCTGTCCATCAGTTACATCAAAATGCATTCTTTCAAAAATGACAGTGTCACAAGTCCCCCAATAATACAATTCATATTTCTTTTTAGCGTGCATTTTGTAATGTTACATAGTGAGATATAAACAGGCAAATGTTTGGGCTTTAGCATACTTTCAAATGGTTTTGTTTTGTACAGTCCTAACAACCGAAGCATACCTAGCTCTTTCAGAAACTGTTAGAAGTCAAGTCAAATCAATGTATAATGTTACTGGGTCTTTTAGTAAATCAAATAAAAAGTAATTGCTAAGCTTTTCCATTTATAAGAAAACACCTGATTAGGTGGGTCTAGCAAGTAATACCTCATACTTCTATTTTATTTATTATATAAGTGGTATGTCATTTTGAAACATGACCTGTAATAAAAGTGGAACTGAAGTTGACTTTTTCAAATATTTTTCAAAATAAAATGAAAAATTATTTATGAATCTAGAAAGTGAGTGTAGCATTAAGTGCAGTCACACATAGTAAAGTTAAAACAAAATATCATACTTAATTATAATATAGCTACTATGAGGCTCGAGAAAGGATCTCAAGGGACCAAAATATTGTCATATTACTCCTAGTGATTGCATAAAGTGCCACTGCATTTTGCAGAATCTGAGACCGTATGGCCATGAGCAATTGTCAATCAGCAAATAGAAAAAATATCTAGTATTAATTACTAGCCACTATCCAACACAAAACAAGTCTTTGAAGATGGAAACTCACAGGTAGGGTAATGTACTTCACTTGGGGCCTTTTTTTTATCACACTGTAGTATATTCAAAACTGTAATATTTAAATAAAAATAAAAAATGTATAAGAAAAACCTTAGAATCAAAATGTGAGACACAATCCGTGGTCTATTTATTTGTTTTTATACATGTAAAAGCAGCAGACATAATATAATTAGTAAGAGCCATCATTAATTCAGTAAGTAACCTGATCAGAACTCTTTTGTTCGGGAGCTGGTAGGTAGTGTGAGAAGTTTGGTAAGGTAATTAACAATTATTATTACACATCTCAATGAGCATCAGAACATCTATAAAAGGGACCAAAAATGTTTTAAGTTAATTAAATACCCGGTCAGGCATAGGAATGTGAGATCTGAGATGTGTTGTTTTGTAACATTTTCTCAGATTGGAAGAAGAATATTTATTTAGCAATATATCCGATAACTCCATTTAAACATGCATATCTACAGATTTACATTTTTTTTTTTTTTAAATGATAGCTATACTTGAATAGAGCAATGAATATGAATGAACACCTGTGATGAAGGAAGAAGAATCAGACCTGGTGTATTAAAAATGAAGTCTGCTGATTATCTCAGATTGGAGGGAGGGGTGGACTATACATTATCCCCTTAAGGACACAACTTCTATACATTATTAAATAAAAATGTATAGTGAATAAACAGATTCGCTTTATATGGTGAGCAGCATTCTGAAATCGTGATATGTATTCTGTCCAGCAGACTGATCATACAGCATTCTTGTGTTTTCAAGGGCCTTTCGCCTTTTTTTAAATTTAAATAAGAAATATATCTCACTATAAAGAAATAGTTTTCGGTAAGATTGTGTGCCCAGTGGCAATTTTGCTATGAAAATATAAACATTATATTATTTCTTATAAACAGACACCAATATCTCTATACAACCTGGGATATCTTGAAGGAATCATATGTAGTATTTTGGAAAGGTTATGATATTACAATGTATAAATGATGTATACAAGCAAATATATAAACTCTTATCGCTGGTTTCATTGGTTTAGATCAGGCTTATATTGTTTTATAGTTAATTTATAGGGAATGGGAAAATTAGCAGGACATAGTTACAGGTTTCAAACATTTTAATATATGCACTTTGGGGTTTGAATGTACTTTACTATTTATATGTTGTAATGGCTACCCAGGTAGTAGGAGGGTATCAGCCGTTGGAGATGTCCTTTTCTTCCCGGCAAGTCGTTGTGTAGTAGTGGAGTTGCTTATTCTCATCCATGGATGGATCCAAGGCAGGAGTCAGGCAGAGCTCTTAAAAGAGCTAAGTGATTAAGCTGCATATCCCCTTTCAATAACGAGACAAGGCTACGTTTTGAAGGGTCAAGAAAAGCTGAATTTTAATGGCAGGTACTCTCCTTTTATGTGATTAACACAACTACCAATAAAACATAAGGTACATATCTCCTCCCCTCAGATAGGCCTGTAACCCAATCAACAAAGACACATTTTTCCCCAAGTTTTGGATGTACCCCAAATACCTGGGGAACATGCATATGGGGTACATGCATAAATCCATATTCTGGGGGAACAACATATTAAAAAATTAGCTCATTTGGTTCAGTGGTTCATATAAAAAAATCAGCTCATTCGGTTCAGTGGTTCGTGAGTTTTGGCCTTGCGGTCGGTCTTTGTTCGCGCGTTAAAAGTCCCGAAAGGCTTGCCATCCGTGTGTAACTCGACGTTTGCCAGAATCCCCATATGCTACTAAGTCTTTCTACGGAACGGCAGGGTGTTCGGTAGTTTTGGCATGAATTTCCGGTGCTATGGAGGTCTCAGCGGTGTTCGTCTACTCGAGTGTCCGATTTTAGTTCCGGACACTCAACGGCAAAACACCGCTGTTCGGGAGTTAAGATAGCCGCGACGATGTATAAAAGTCCCTAAATGGCAGCCACCCAGGCACTTCAACAAAGCGTTCGTGTGTTTCCCATGAAGACTGTATTCACCGATCAGGGAGGTAAATTACACATAATTAGGTAGCAGGGTGGTCCGGTGTTTGGTAGTTTGGATTCGTATGATGAATGCTTTAAGAGTCCCGAACTGCTGTGTAGAAAAATCCCCACGAAAGCAGGTAAGGATCTTCAATTTGTATCCAGCTTGATGTCCTTTTCTGAACAAACGATACATCCTTATAATCCGAGGGTTCTGTTCCTGCGTATGTGCCTTGCTAGCTCTTAAAGGGTCCGTAATAGCCAGTGTTTCCAGGCACAGGGTAGAGTTTTGTTACATATGTGATATGTATTTGGATCTAATTCTCATTTAATTATGCTCTTTGTATATTAGACATTATATATGCTAGCTAATCTGATTCGCATTTTATTTGTTGCGGTGTATGAATTAAATTATGTAGAAGCGCAGCATATCAATCATTTTAATTGGATACCAAACCAATGCATCCTGTTCAGGGAAGCTATGTGTATCACAGCCATTGTAACGTGCAACAACAATAATAATATTAATAAAATAATACAAGCTTAGGAAAATGTCAATCTATTAAAAATCACCTGTAGCATTGCCCTTAAATCATTTTTATGTAAATGGTCATGATATATTTTTCAGTTTACATTCAAGCGTCTTGAGAAATGACCCAGGGTCCAGAAGGTCAAGTAGCTCCACAATGCTTGATGGAGGAAACATTGGAAAATTTGATTTTGAGATCACAGATTTCTTCCTGTTTGGCTCTCCTCTGGGACTTGTGCTGGCTCTGAGGAAAACCGTGATTCCGGCACTAGATGGTAAGTGTGGGGTGTTGGAATGATTTGCCAGTACAGTTTTTTGGGTTTTTTGGTTTTTAAATCATTCAATGTTTTTTGATAGATGTGGCACATATCATGGAGAACAACAGTACATAGAAAACAGCAGGGTTATGTACAATGCAAATAGCAATTTGTACAAGTTGCAACAGTATTATATACTATGATTGCAACAATATGATATACCAGGGCTTGACAAATTTGCTTTGGAGCCAGTTTAAAATGTTAGGAGCCATTTTTTTTTTTCCAACTTCAAAAATACAAGTCTTAAAGGAACACTGTAGTCACTAGAACCAATTGAGGCTAATGTA